AGTTAAGGTTAGTAAGTTATTTATATATCAAGAATACAATTTATGCAGTATGTAGATCATTATATGAAATCTGCCCCACTTTAAGGGACCCCCAAATATGGATTTCCGACATTTTTTGCATTTACATCTCCATTGTAAGTCCTCGAGTTATAAACTAGATTCATTTATATATGTCCTTGCAACGTTCTGAATAATTATATTATTACTTTTATTATGTAAATAGAAAAGGTTTAAAATACAATGCATTAATTCCATTAATTTTTTTGAACAGGATGCCCGCATCTAATCTCTTGTAAACTTTGTTCTCTTAAAGGTGTATCTGCGAATAATGCGCATATGAGTCCTTCCAATTCATTACTAGTGAAACAGTTTAGCTCGGCAGAGCGGAATTTGTCCATAATGTTTGCTAAGGGAAATTCAAGTATATCAGTTATATAACAGAATTTCTTCCAGTTTTTAACATGATTCTCGATTTTATTTGGCTATCAATGATGGTAAAAAAAAAAAAAAGTTAATAAGCTTTCAATTTAGAGATAAAAAAGAAAAAAATTAAACATCCAATCTACCCCGTTATTCCTGAATATTTCTTCCAACGGAAAAAGCATTGAATATATTAAATTTAATTGATGAGATTCTTCTGCAGAAATATCATATAGATCCTCTAGATTCTCGATCATAATAGTTAATACTGAATTTATCAAAGTGCCTAATATAATATAATATTCTGAAGGTCGTAACACATCCTGAATGTAGAATAATAATGCAAATAGGGAATTACTAATAGACACAATTGAAGAGAAAATTAAGATTAAGTGGACATAGATGGTAAAGGTGCTAACCTTCCAAATGTTTGATAGGTGCTTTATGGTATATATCACTTTATTCATCGCTTGTTGGCAAGTTTCAAATCGTTCCTCATTTACTGTTAGTTGCACTCCATCCATTTCATCCAAAATTTCTTTAAGAACTGATTTTTGTTTTTCCTTGTGATAATAATAAATTTAATCATATAACCATTCTAAAAAAGGTAGAACTTCATTTAATAAATTTAGACTTACCAACTGAATGTCGTACCATTCGTTTCCTAAATCTCGCAATTTGTTTGCCATGTCATTATATAAGATTTTAGATTCAACATCTTCTGACTCATTATGTTCTTGTGGCAATAAGCTATTTATAAATTGATCTTGAATAGTTATGAGTTGATTTGCTAGCCAAATGCAATCGTTACGAAACAACATAGCCAAGGTGGGTAAATTAGTAAAATTGTTCGAATGATACACCGGCATAATAGCACGATATAGATCAAAGAGATCAAGAGTAGCTTGATACAAGCGCATTCCACTATTTATAAAGTTGTTTAAGGGTTAAACGAGAATAAGACATAACCGATTAGGAATATGGTATATAAGTTAAAGGCTACCTCTTTGTATTTAAGTTTCGTGCTTCGTTCAAAGTACTTAATGTCAGATCTATTAGTGACTTAGATTTGACTGAAATAGAGTATCTTTCTGGTTCATTTATCACCTCTGAATCATGAGAATTGGTTTCCTTGGACAACTCGGTTTGTTTATTGGTACTATCCCAATTATCATCATCACCATCATCCCAGGCTTCATTCCAGTCAACCTCCCATCCTTCATTAGGATTATTGTCTTGTGTGGAATTAGTAGGTTCATTCTCATAATTTTGTTGAATTACTTCCGAATTGTTCTCTATTGAATTATTTTCAACAGAATTATTTTCAACAGAGGTATTTTCAACAGAGGTATTTTCAACAGAGGTATTTTCAACAGAGGTATTTTCAACAGAGTTATCTTTATCATTACTCTCATTAGCATAATTGGCATCCTCAGTAATTATCAAGCTATCAAATATACTATCTAACATGATATTTCGTCCAAATTCCAGTAGTTTGTCACGCTTTTTAATTGTGAAATGAATATCGACTTTTGCTACGTATGCTCCTAAAGTTCTTTCTTCACCTTCTTCCCCGCTAGTTGATCTCATGAAACCCATCCGACGCATTTCCGTTTGAA